TGGACCCCACTGGATCTTCTGAAAGTCTCACCAGATCTATCCCCACCCCACACTGACTGACAGCAACATCATTCAAGCCCCTCTCCCAACAAAGCAGTTTGAAACAGTGGATATGACATTGACCTGCTTGCTTTAAAACAAACCAATCATGTGACTTTTAAGTGGCTTCAGCCATTTTTTTTTTATTTCCCCCCTCCCCATGCCCCATTCACAGGTAGTTGTGATCGCTCACTTGGCAAAGCCCATCCTTCTCCTTCCCTACTTCTGTCTCAGCAGAGTGGCAACTGGGGGAGAGGGGTTTAGTTTGAGATTTTTCATTTTAAAGGCAGCTGAGGTTTTTACAAAAAAAGCTGTATCTTTGTTTATAGCAGAACTTTTATATGTTCTCTCATTCCCTCCCCCCCTACTTCTTTCTGCTTTCCTCATTCCTTTCAGGAAAGAATTCCCTTCAGCTAAAATGATGTTCTGACAAAACTCTGCTTAGTTTTGTATATGGTTCTGTGCTATATTGAGAGTTGGAGTTTGTTTGGGTATATTTCCCCAGGTGATTTAGCCTTTCAGACTGTTTGATTAAAAAAACAGGACAGTTATGACATTTGTTACTTTTTCAGTATTTTTGTTTTAAGCTAGAAGCAGTGCTTGCATTAGGAGGAAATGTATACTAAAGACACATAGGACATCAGTGCATAAATCCTGAAACTTGCACCACTTCAACACAGCTTTGGGGTTCTTTGTGCACAACAAAATTTGGCATTTTCATTTTAAGGAAAAAAACCAGATTTCTGTTCCAAGCAGATCTAGGTGTTTAATTTTTCCTTTTTATGGGTTTCCGATTTTTTTAGTGACTGCAAAACACACGCCAAAATGTAAATCGTAGATTTACAAAATGTAACATTTGTTAGGAAGAAAAAAATTCTCCTCACAGCACATGGGTCAGAAGAGTTGGCTAGAGCCAACGGGTCTGTACGGACTACTTTTTGTAGTTGTGATGCTTTCTCATGCTCCCTGCCTTGGCTGCTTGAATTCTTGTCTCCTGAGACTTGTCCTATATTGTGTTCATCCCTCGGGGCTGCTCTACTAAGCTTTGCTCTTTTCCCTTAGTCTTGCTTTTTGTTCCTCTATTCCATTGCCTTTTGTAAAATTTGCATAGAAATGCGTTGGTAAGGGAGCCCCTCTGCAAGGCACACTTGGAACCTTCTGTTTCGGGTTGGAAGCGCGTTTGGAACAGAGGCAGTTTGGAATCATCCTTCTCCTCTCCTTCCCCAGGTGAACAGCAAAAGGTTCTTTACTCTGATGCAGTTGCATATAGTGTGTGTACAGCATCGTCACCTCACAACTCCTCCAGTATTTGATGAGCTACACAAGAAGATCCCAGTGGGAGAGGTTGGGTTTTATTTCTTTGGCTGTTTGGTTTTGGTTTATGTGAGTGTGCGTGTGTGTGTGCGTGTGTGTATGTAGATTTTTTAGGACAGACTTAAAAGTTTCCTGAAAGGGCTTTGAGTCCTTCACCTGATGGTAGTCTAAAGTAAAAACTACTTTCAGCTAACTTGGTTTGTGTTGTTTAGCTCTTTCAAAATGTAAAGTAGGCTGGTCACTCAGAAGTGAGGGACAGAACCATTTTTGGAGATGGTAGCTTGCTCACAGGCTGTGTTGGCCTCTGCTGGGTGGCAGAAAGTCATTTGGTAGTGGTTCCAAAGAAGATATTTTGAACAAAGAATGTATTGGGGAAGGGATCTGAAAGGTGTTATTGTTTCTTCATTTGCAGTTTTTGGTTTTTTTTTCCCCCCTCCTCCCCTTTCCGGAAAAAGATCCTTTGTAACTTTGTAAGGATGCATTTGAAGTTTTAAGCTAGGCATAAATATGATTTTTATACAGTAGCTTTAAAGAGCTTAGAAACCTAAACTAACTTAGGCATAGTAATGTCCCCTCTCCACAGGTGTCCCCATGGATCATGGCAGAGAACCCGAAGGGAAAGGGATAGGATGGTACTTTAAGAAAAAATAAGAGCTCTTTTTTTCTTAGGTTTTATGGATTCTAATTTCAGAGCAGAGTGTGCCAGCATCTCTCTAGCATCCTCCTTAAAGTACAGGGTTTGAGATTTAGTGACAAATATTTCCCCAACCTTCAGACATCTCCCAGATCTGCATCCTCATCTGCTAGACCTGCTCCCAGTGTTTTCCAAAGATTGCACCTCCAGTAAGTCATCCCACCCTCATTTCTATTTTCTCCCTTGAAATACCATTAACAGCAGAATTGTCTGTTTGGGATTTTTTTATTATCCTGCCCAGCTGGCCCTAGCTAATACAAGCCTAGAATCTAACTAATGGCTAAAGAGACTTATCTGAGCCCTCTTCTTCTCATCTCTTTCGTACTCAAGACACACTACTTCAGCTTTACAAAGACACTAACCTCCTTCCTCCCACCTGTGTGACTTCAAAACGGTCAAACGTGTTGGAGAAACTGGGTTATTGCAAGATCCAAGCTACTGCAGTTCCTCTGGTGTAAATGCCATCAAACTACAAAACTTCCTGTTGAAAAAGATCACCCTTCTTTCTCTTTTAATCCCTCCATTCCTTCCCCCAACAGAATAAAACACTAGAATTTATTTATACGTATTTGATGTTGTAGGTCTAGGTGAAAAAGTAATTGTTTCACTGCTCTATTTATATATTATGTCTGAATTATTCTGTGCAGGAAAGGCCAAGAAATGCATGTGAGCTTCATTCCATTTCTCAACTTTGCGTGACTGTCGGCTGCAGTTGGCAAGACTCTCTCTCTCTTTGTGGAGTTTTGTGTGATGGAAAGGAGTTTTAGAGCCCAAATTTCTATGGTGCAATATCCTTCTCTGGCATATATTTTTGTTTGTTTGTTTGCTTGTTTGTTTGTTTGTTTAAAGCTAGTCCAAGGTTAGTGCAGTTTTTGGTGCTCTGGAGTCAAAAGGAAAAGCCTCTGATCCTCAAAGGAGCAGAAACACCAAGGGAGCTGGAATGCTGATAAAAATCCAGAGTGGAGAGGAGGATGGAGATATACAGAACGTATCAGAGAGTCCTTCTGCTTGCTGTCTCCACTGCTGAAGGATTGATTTATTCCTTTGCAAGTTGCTTTTGCTTTGACTGGAAGGCAGCTACCAAATTGCAGGCTCCTTCTGCTGGGAAAGGTGCAGGGTGCAGTGGGAGAGAAAGGTGGAGCCCATCTTTCCAGCAACAACGGTGAAGCAGGAATGTTCAGAGGCTGACTCTGCTGCTCGTGTTGAGCAGAGGATCTCAAGCACCTGTGTGATCATTTCCCTGTCACACAGTGAGTCATGGCCAGCAGCTCCAGTCAGTGCTGCTTTCCTCACCACTTCTCCTGTTAGCTCTTAATTTAAAAACAAACCAACATTGAAGTCTGGGAAGGGGGGGGAAAAAAAAAAAAAGAGCTAAAAAAAAGGCACTCCAGTATATTTTAAATGACAAGCAGAAGCAGCACAGTCACCAGTGACACAGGTATTGCTGTTGATGTTCCATAGCTTGCTCCTGGCTGTGCCAGCTGTGCAGTGTCAGCACCTCTGGATGTGTTTGCTGCCCGTTGCAATCCTGTGTGTGTGGTGTTCATGCAGAGGCACTCATGCCATCAACACCTTCCTTGCAGGAATGCTGCAAAGCCATCAGCTGCCCTGTGGTTCCTGTGTATTTATAGATAGGTATTCAAAATGAGCCGAGTGTCTTCGCTGTGTCTCACCTCCTAGTTCCTCCAGTCACCTTGCAGCCAGGACCCCTTCTGTTGCATTTTCTTAACCCTCCCTTTTGCTCCAGACTGGTTATAAGCACAGGTTAATTCCTTGTAGCACTTGTTATTTTTTATTCAGCAACCTAGTTTCTTCATAAGAAAGTTGCTTTCGTGAATAAAATTTAATTTACAACAGCCACCAGTGTGCTTAGTTGTGGCCCATGGACAGAAAAAGTGCATTTTGCTGAAACAAAAGAGACAGGAGCATCCAGTTATTTTTGTTGTTTATTTCAGTCCAAAGACCACCAGGTCTTCCAGTGGTTGTAGACACTCCCTTGGGTTTAGTGGCTTGTTCTGGCTGCTCCAATGTCCTTGAGTGTTTCCCCAGGAATCACAGCTGCAGCAGTGAGGCGCTCACCCTTTAGCATGTCTTGAGGCATTGTCCTTAGCTGGAATCCTCCCTCTGGTTCTGTATAAATTGCATTTGTTGTTTCTCAAGGGGATATTGTCCTCCTTAAAGCTTTTAACTTCATGACCTGTATAGTAAATTTTTTTTGGCCTTTCCTCTTTGTCTTTTCATGTAGACCAGATATTTGAAAGGGCAGACGATGGATAATTGTGTAATGTGCAACCTGTTTATATTTTTTGGAAACTTTTACTCGGACCGGAATTCGAATCACGGAATCAACCAGGCCAGTTGCGGCACACTCTTTATTGCCCTTCTCCTTGTTTCAGTACCTATTGTTTCTCCTTTCAAATATGTGATTGTATTAGCTCTTTCCATATGAAAGAATTCTCCTTATTTAAATAAAAAAAAAAAATAAAAAAATAAAGCAGATTATGCTTTTCTCAATTTCACAGTCCTTTGTCTGGTTATTTTAGTTAATAATAATAAAAAACTAAAAAACCAACAAAACTCCGAAACAAAACAAAAAAAGAAATAAACAACCCAAACACACAGCAAAAAACCCCCAGGTTTTTGAAGTTTGTGTGAACGTCCCAGAGTAGGGAGGGGGAGGGACACAGTGTTTGTGGTGCCCTGGCACCCTCGCCGGGGTCGGTGGTTGTGACAGGGAGCTCAGGTGGAGAGGGCTCCCTCACAGCCGCCATGGCGGCCGGGCCGGGCCCGCTCGCCACACGCGGGGTTGCCACGGTAACAAACCCGTGTTTCCTGGTTCCGCTCCCGTGTCGTAGTCTGCGTCTGACGTCACATCCGGCGTCGCCAGGTAGGGGGCGGGTGGAGCGCGGCGCGCGGAGCTGCCACGCCCCCCTCCGGCGCGCGGGGCCCGTGTGGGGCGGGGGGGTCCCGGTGCTCGGTCCCGGTCCCGGCCTTTGTACTGATCCTGGTCACGATCCCCGGCTTGCTCTCGATCCAAGTCCTAGTCGTGGTCCTGGTCCCGATCCTTATTCCACTCCTAGTGCTGGTCCCGGTCGTGTTCCCGGTCCCGATGCTTGTCCCGGTCCCGGCTCCGCGGTGCCGCTGGTCACGGGCCGCCGTCAACCCCGTACAGCTATTGGGGAGGGAGGGGCTGCGAGGCTTCGGGCGGGCTGTGGTTGATGCTTCTGTGCTCCCCAAAAACACTCAAAGGGGGCTGGGTACAGGGTGGGTGGTGGGTCTTAGTGACCCTCTGAGGGCGACGTGCGGGGAGAGTGGTCCTACTGCCCCCCGAGAGCTTAAATGGGGGGAGCAAGGCAGGGTGGCCCTGCTCCCTCCTCATAAAGGGTGCAGAGCCCGGCAGAGGTTTGAGGGTGCCCTGAGGAGGTGCCCGAGGTGGTGTTACCCTGGGCCCAGCTGTACCGCGAGGGGTGATGGAGCTCAGGTGGGAGCACATATCTGCCAGGGGCACCTGAAAGCCTCTGCTCCTCACAGATCTGGTGTTATGTACGCAGAGAGAAACCAGGCCAGTGGCACCGCTCTGGATGGTGATGTGCTCACATCTCGCTTTGTTCTCCCCTGATCAAAGCCACGCAGATGGATTTGCTCTGGTAACTTTCCGTTCTCTTGAGGTGAGGAGGCACGGCACTGATGCTCTGCTATTTTCTGACCTAGGTTTTGGCACTTCTGCTTGAACAGTACCTATACATGTGCTCCAGTAACCAGCTTTCTAGTGCAGAAGGTGTTTGGGGGATTTGTCCCTCCCTTCTTCACTCCCAAAGAAATACCTCCGATTGTAAGGAAGTAACTTGTTTGAGTTTTTTTTTTAAAAACCTGAGTTCCAAATAGCTCAGTTAGTGAGGTCATCTGGTGCCTGAGCCCATGGTTTGTGCATCAGTAGCATCAGAATTTGGGCTGTGAGGTTTGCTTTGCACAAAAGCAAACAGGCTGGAGAATTAAGCTGCTGTGTTTCTGCAGAACCAGTGTAAAAATAAACAAGGTTCCTAGCTTACTACTGCAGGCAGAAGCAGGGCAGATGAAAAGTGTGTCAGTTCAGTAACTTTGTTTTTACAATAAGTCCTGTAGAACAGAAAAACAGAAACATGAAAAGCAAGATAATTTTGGGAAATTAATTACCATGAGCTGCTTGTTGCAGAAATTAGTCCTTATGCTTTCTGTGAAATGTTCAGCTCTGTGAACCAAAGGGTGACTGCTGTTCTCTTCTGCTCTCGAAGGTTCAGGCAAACTTTTGACAGGATGTTGGGATTTCTGAAGGAGCCAGTTGTGGTCACTGCAAAGATCAATGTGAACCTTGTGGCACTAACCATGATGGGATTAATAAGTCGTCTCTGGGGACTTTGCTATCCACGGGCTGTGGTGTGAGTAATGAGCTTCTTTTCTACCTGAAGGATGCAGACTTGTTTTTCAAGCATTTGTGAGTGAGAATGCAGGAGCAGAAGAGCACAGCTTGACTGATGTCAGCCTCTGTAAATCACAGAATCACAAAATCCCAGACTGGTTTGTATTGGAAGGGATCTTAAATCCCATCTTATTCTGCCCCCTTCTGTGGGCAGGGACACCTTCCACTATCCCAGGTGCTCCAGCCCTGTTCAGCCTGGCTTTGGGCACTTCCAGGGGCAGCCACAGCTTCTCTGGGCACCCTGTGCCAGGGCCTCACCACCCTCACAGGGAGGAATTTTTTCCTAAAACTTCATCTCAACCCACTCTGTCAGTGTGAAGCCATTCCTCCTTGTCCTGTCACTCCAGGCTCTAATAGTGTCATCCCATCTTTCCTGTGGGCTCTCTACAGGTACCAGGAGGCCACAATTAGGCCACCCCTGTGAGCCTTTTCTTTGCCAGGCTGAACAATCCCAATACAGTGATAGTCCTTCCCTGAGGAGAAGGGACAAAGTCTCAGTGCTTCACTGCATTCTTAGCTTTCTGCCAATAAATCAGTGCTTGCTTTCTGAGTATCCCTGCAGGATAATTGCCGTCAGATTTGTCATATTTCTGTCTCTTGTGTTTCAGTTTTGATGAAGTTTATTATGGCCAATTTGTTTCACTCTACATGAAGAGGATCTTCTTCGTGGATGACAGTGGCCCACCCTTTGGCCACATGCTGCTGGCTTTGGGAGGTAGGGTCTCCTGGAATTGGGAAGTGCCTGTTGCATTTTGCTGTGGAAGAGAGAGGTGCTGGTTAGAAAGGAATCATCAGATCCACTTGTGGGGGGGAAAGCACAAGGCATATGAGAGACTCTGATGTAGAGAGAATTGAGTTTTCTTTTATTTAGGATTGTTAAGGGGCTGTTGCGTGAGTAGTGGGGGGATGATAAAGCCATGTATCCATCACTTCACTGTTATTCAATCCTTTGGATAAAGAGAAAGGTAAGATGAGAACTGGTAGTGACAAGAAATAGGCAGCAAGACTCAGTTCCTTCATGTAGTTGAGATACCACAACATGAAAGTGTCTGTACGGGAGGGAGGGATTAAATATACATCTGACTTTGTCACTGAGAATCCCCCGTTCCCAATTTATATTCTTTGTGCCTCTGCACATTCTCAAGCATTGCTGCAGACAGAACAGTATCAAAGAGGACCCTTTTGGGAAGGAGGGCCTTCATGCAAGGAAAATCTGTGTGTTTGGGAAATGGTTCCAAATTTAGCACCAGGTTTTATACATGCTTTGAGACTGGAAAGTCTCTTGTTTATGTTGTAGGTTACTTAGGAGGATTTGATGGAAACTTCCTATGGAACAGGATTGGAGCTGGTAAGAGCTGTTTTTTGTGTTATTCCTTAGAGAAAATAAGCAGAATTTCAGCAAGTGACAGATTCCTTTTGCCTGTCTAGTGGAAATAACACTTTAACCAACACCTTCACTTCTCTTTTGAAATAAGTCTTCTCCAGGTCTCTAGCACAAGTTAAAAGCACTATGAATTCATAGCACAGGCTTTCTAAATCAGCTAAACAGTTTAAGCAATACAAGATGGACAAATTAGTGCAAGTAGGAGTATTCTAGCAATTAAGAAATTGTGTATTGGTCTGCCCTCTCTGCAGTTAAGTCTCCAAACTGGTGGATCACTGTTTCCTGTTTTCTGTTTCAGAATACAGCATGAATGTTCCTGTGTGGTCCCTGAGACTCCTGCCAGCCCTGGCTGGTGCTCTCTGTGTGCCTTTAGCCTACCAGATTTTGGTTGAACTGCACTTGTCCCACTGTGCTGCACTTGGAGCTGCTCTTCTGATTCTCTTAGGTAGGATTGTTCAACTGAGCCCATTCTTCATACATGGAGAGAAGAGTCCCTTTTTCCCCCTTAGGAATGTTTAGGGTGGAGTAGCATCTCCCCAGAAAACACCACATCAGCCCTGTGTCTGTGCTGGGCCTCCCTGGATGCCTTTATCCTTACAGCTCTGCATCAGGGGACCCTTCTGGGCTTGATAAAAGTTCATTTAAATATTAAGCAAAGTAGGCAGCCTTAACAACCTCACAGGAAACAACATTTCTTGTATCCAAGAAGGCCTGTACTCCCTTCCTCAGAGGTTTACAGGATGAGTTACCGGTTTTTAACAGCATACATACTGGTTTTTAACAGCAGGACAACTCAACTTGCAGTCAGAGCTTATCAAATTTCTTCATCTCCAAACTGCAGCAAACCAGCTTGTGTCCTTAGCACTGTGATTTGACACTGGTCTGGTGTGTACAACTCAGCTGGTTTTGTTTTCTCTGAGGGACTGCTGGCAGCTGCCTGAAAGGGAAAGAGCCTCTCAGCAGCTCTTTAGCAGCCTGATAAGAGAAACCTTTCCTGACTACCAGCTGCTCTGATTCTGGCTCATTGCAGCTCCCTTTCCTGCAGATCTGTTGCAGTGCTCATTGCTTGCTGTGCTTGCTGCCTGGACTCTTTGCTTTGAGAAGCACCTCTCTGGATTTCCTAAGACTGATTTGCTTTGCCTTTGTAGGAAGTACAGCAGCTTTATCTGACTCTTGATAGACTTCACTGCTTGCCCACCTCTTTGTCTTGGAAACAGTTATGGCCATGTAATTTGCTCCTGCTGGAAGGTTTTTGTACCTCTAAACCCAGCACTTGCCCGTTACATCCAGTAGGAACTGTGCATCCCTAAAGGAGCAGGTCCTTTTGCTGGATAACAATGTGATTGTCTGAGGTAGCACTTGCCTATAGGAAAGTTTCTCTAATTTTGTGTCTGTTTCTCTTTTCCAACAGAGAACTCTCTGATCACTCAATCAAGGTTCATGCTTCTGGAATCAATACTGATTTTTTTTATCCTGCTTGCAGTTTTGTCCTACCTGAAGTTCTACAATTTGCAAAAGCACAGGTAAAGCTGGATCGTCTCTTACCTTTTTGGATATTCTCATGGTGACTTTTTTTTTTGTCACAGACTGTGTTTTTCTATGCCTCTTAACTATTCTGTAACTCACTTCACCTGTCTGTAAATGCTTTAACCTCTCATATGGCTGCCCCAGAATTTTTCTCCTGAGCAGTGTTAAAGACTGAATTTCCTGTTAGCAGGGTTGTCTTTTTTAATTTTAAAATAGAAATAAAATCCCTTGGGAGCGCTTTTTTGCCCACACAGATTTTTTACTGGAAGGATTCCTTTCTGTGCACAGAAACACTCATGAATACAGGTCACTTAAAGCTCCTTTGTAACTGTCTACAGGCACTGAATTTTTTTGTTCTCTGATCCTTGCAGAGGATGAAGTAATTCTTAGTAAAGTAAAATTATCTTTAAACTTAGCCTAACAAGTGATTTAATACATTTATCTTTAAGTGCCTTCTCTGGAAGCTGGTGGTTTTGGCTCCTGCTGACTGGAGTAGCCTGTTCTTGTGCAGTTGGGTAAGTAATAATGTCTTACCTGGACTTTAATGCCTACTGTTCAAGAGAATGTTGGCATATTTATATCTTGTGTTAGGTAATTGTGTAGTTTTTAACCATGTTCATTTTTTATGCACTTTCTTCTCAGAGTGAAATATATGGGCCTGTTTACCTATATGCTGCTCTTGGCCACTGCAGGACTCCACTTCTGGCACATGATAGGAGACCAGAACTTGTCAAATGTATGTAGCACAGCATGCAGAACGTATTATTTGTCACTTTTCATTGCAGCCTTTCAAGCCCACAGATAACAATGCAATCTGTAGCTGGCTTTTGTACTGAAATTCCTTGTCTGGAAAGCCTCCTGTCATAGCACAGTTCCAAGCTGAGTTGCTGGGGAAGATGGAATTAAGTTTAAGAAAAATATGTGTGTGTGACTGTCTTTCCTGCTGTTATCCATGTCTTAATAATGTGTGACTCAGAACGTGCCCTTGTCTCACACACTCCTGCGAGCTCCACTTCAAATCCTTGCTGGAAGTTACCCAGTTGTCCACAAAGTTACAGCTGAATGAGAGTGTTGGGGAAAACTTAGGAAAGACAAACAAAACAAGCTAAGTGCTCTGGAATTCTTAATATCTAGAACATGAAACGAGTGAGTTTTCTCTGTTCTTACAGGTTTCCTTGCTGTGCCATTTTCTAGCTCGGGGTCTGGCCCTCATCATCATCCCCATGGGGCTGTACCTCTCCTTCTTCTATGTTCATTTGGCTTTACTGTATCGCTCTGGGCCTCATGACCAGATCATGACAAGTGCTTTCCAAGCCAGCTTAGAGGTAAAGGAAATGTCATCTTGGAACTGATTTATTAGAGAGAAGAGGGGGCATATTTTTTTCCCTTTTATGTCATTTAACTGTTTTGCTGCTGTAGTATTGCTTTAAGGTGAAGCAGTAATGACTGAAATCCTAATAACAGATGAAAAGCTTTTCCCAGTGAGCCAAGAACAATATGTTCACTCTTCTGCTGAAGCTTTCTCCCTTCCTACAGGAAACTCCACAGAAGTTACATGAACTCTTACATGGTGACATGGTATACTATAGGAGTACTTAGCATGTCTTTTAGAACATGGCTTTAGGGATATTTCCTGAGATCCTGTAGTCTTTTAGTTTTTTAGGTCTTGGTGCATTTACTATCCCTTGAGTATGGTGCTGCAAGACTTGATTTTGGTAGATAAAACCAAATGAGAAGGTGCTGTGTGAAGATACTGCTGTGTTGAAGTGGCATGTGACTGTCTAGGATTTAAAAAGCCTCGGGGTTGTTTCTTCTTCTTTGTACTTACCCTGTCCTTACCCCTCTCAGGGTGGGCTGGCTCGAATCACTCAGGGTCAGCCCTTAGAGGTGGCCTACGGCTCTCAGATCACCCTGCGGAACGTGCTGGGCAAGCCCATGCAGTGCTGGCTCCACTCTCACACCAATACTTACCCCATCAGGTGAGGAATCTGCCTGGGTGGAAGTCAGCTCTGCTTCTTTAGCTGCCAGTCCAAGTGTAGCAGTTTGGGTCCTGGCAATGTCTTCATCAGTCCTTCAGAGTCCCTGTGCTCTGTAGGAATGATCAGTGATATGGTGCTGATTTGTACTGCTGGGAATGGTGAGCACAGAGATGTACCTTTACACCTCCTCTGTGGGGTTTTGTATCTTCCTCTGCAGGTATGAAAATGGCCGAGGGAGTTCCCATCAACAGCAGGTGACCTGCTATCCCTTCAAGGATGTGAACAACTGGTGGATTGTCAAAGATCCTGGAATGTGAGTATGCAAGAGATTTAAATTCAACCTATATGCTTCCAAAACCCAACCAGGGCTTGGATTGGACATAACTCTTCTCTGCTTATGGGTGCAGAAGCCTGGTGTGATCTGAGCAAGTGATTGCAGCTCTTTGCACAATCCTCATATGGTAAAAGCATTACTGAGGACTCTGAAATCCTGTCTGAATTGCTCCTGCCAGAACATGGGCTGTGCTGTGCACAAGGGGAACTTGAAAGACTCACAAGACCAGTGGAGATTCTTCAGGTGTTTTGCATAAAAGGGAAGCACTGCTTTTTGAAGTGTGAGCCATGGTGTTAGAGTGTCTTGAAGAGTTTTATCAAACTTGAATGAGTCTCAGAAAAAGAGTAGAAAACACTTTTGAAAAATGAGTAGTTCTTTGTATTAGAAGCATGCAGTGAGCTGTAAGATCTGACACATAGGCAAGGATTCCAAGTGGTGCCTGTACCTGAGAGGCCTGGTTTGTGCTGACGTGTTTTGCCATTGTCACTGTCACTGCAGAGCAGGACTCTCTGTCCTTGTTTTGCCAGTAAAAGCCTTTGAGTGACATAATTCCATACTGATCAAAAAGTTGCTTTTGTAGGTTTCTGACATTGTTCTGGGAACTGTATAAAGAGTCCTATCAGAAGGACTCTATGCCATTACAAGTCATATCCACGTTGGGAAAGGTTGTCCATGGTGCAGGCCTTTCAAGTAGGGACTCTTAACAGAACCACAGACCTCAAATATATTCTTAAAATTCTTCAAACTCCAAAGACTCCTATGAGCATTGGAGGATATGAAGTCCTTCTATGGAACAGTGATACACAGGCATCAGTTCAGCGAACTGCAGTGTTCCCCCTTGCCATGGCCCTGTCCAGAAGCAAGGTGAGGATTTACTCTATTTGATGTAAAAGCCATTGATCTCTCCTATAATTCTGCCAAAGGACACCAGCTGTAGTACAGCACCCATCAGATGCAGTGAAGCACTCAGTGTTTCACACAAGCCACCAAACAGCTGTGTGACGGGAATAACCTTAATTCACTCCTGACCTGGATTCAGACCACTGACCTAATGCCTGGAGTGTCAGTATCCCATTACTGATCATCTGACTCATTCTGCCCTTCACTTATCTTTGCCTTGATGAGCTTTGTTTCCATTCTGGTACAAACTATATATTGGTTTAATTTCTCATTTTCTTGCCTAAATGTCTGTCCCTGCCTGCAGCTTCTTGACCTAACAACTTGGTCATGACAAGGTTGTGTTCTATATAAAGATGCCTATAATTTAACCATTTCAAATGTAACCATTTCCTCTTGGGTGTCCCTTCACCAGGCAGCAGCTGGTGGTGAGTAACCCACCACGGCCCGTCAGGCATGGGCACATTGTGCAGCTGGTCCATGGCATCACAACTCGCTACCTCAACACGTAAGTCCTTTCCTTGTGCTTTGCTCTGCTAAGCCTGCTGGCTCATTCCACTGGGTTGGCTCTCGGAATAACCACTTAGTGAGCTTGTATTCAGATATGCCATAAACTGCCTGTTACTTGTGGATCCAGTGAGCCTTGGAGGGGCCCCGTGTGGTTAGTTCCATATGCCATCCCTGTGGCCCAGAGGAAGGATGCTGTATGCTTATTTATATTGTCTGATTGATCTGCCAGTGTAATTTGATCTTAATCACAAACTTCGTAATGGTTGCTTATTGCTTCCGTTCTTCCCTACTAGTGGCCTTTAGAGGATTTCACATTTGTTCACATTTCATGGTAGTTCTGCAGATTCCTAAATACAGAGTCCCCTCTGTGAGTCTTCACCTTCCCTCCTTCATTGCCCCCACTCTGGACAGGTGCAGATATTTAGTATTTTGTGTGACTTAACCCAAATCCAACTCCATTGACTTTGATGGCATGCTCCTACCTGAAGGATGTGCTCTGGAAGTTAGGAAGATGTGCTGGAGAATCCGGTGTGCTGTGGCTCATTGCCAGAGATTCTTGCCTGTTCTGAAAGGCTGCAGTATGAAGTTATCTCCTGACTGCTTCCCAAAGGGCATCTGCATGTACTTGAATATCACTCAGATTAGGAAGGGGCTTGTTCTGAGCTTGGGTTTTTGCTATGTCCCTTCCAAATCTAATTTGTTCATTATTGGAAACTCCAGTGAACAGCGTCTCTGTTTGTCACAATCAGTGCTTGTTCTTCAGCCTGGCATCGCAGGCATCTGCATTGGCTTCCTCTGAGCCTGTTCCTGGCAGCTCTTGATAGTGGGGAATGCTCTCTCTCAGAGTAAACAGTGCAGTCTCTATAAGTGAGTTACTTTTTGCTTTATTACTGAATCCAGTCTAAGCCAATTCCATATGGGTTTGTTTTTTATATGTATTTGGGAAATGGTGGTGGAGGATATTCCTTCATTTTTCTTCTAGGCATGATGTTGCTGCTCCTCTTAGCCCCCACTCCCAAGAAGTTTCCTGCTATATTGATTATAACATCTCCATGCCAGCACAGAACCTCTGGAGAGTGGTGAGTTGTCAGAGGGAGGGGAGGAGCTGATCATGCTCCAGCAGAAACAGCTGAGACAACATGGATCAAAAGTCATCTTTCTGTTGTAGGAAATTGTAAATCGCGAGTCTGACACTGATGTGTGGAAGACAATTCTGTCAGAAGTGAGGTTTGTTCACGTGAACACCTCTGCAGTGCTAAAGGCAAGTGGGGTTATGTTTATTTGCCTGTAGCTTTTGCTTCATGCAGTTCTTGTAATCTCAAAAACTCTGCTCCAAAATAGCTACACCACTATAATGAAGAACCAAGTAAATTAAAGGAAACAATAAACTTGCTCAATGTGACAAAAGAGCAACATGTATTTTAGGTAGTCACACTAGTACTTCATCCCTTTCGGTGTCAAAGCTGTCCTGCTTCTCAAGAGGTTGTGACCACTCTACACAACTGGGGCTTAGAAACTGATGCTGAATCTACATGTCTGTGAGAGCAGCTGGAATAATTAAGGATCTTTTTCTTTACAAAGTTTGCCAAAATCACTGATTTTATGGCTGTAGCATTTATTGAGACAGTTTTGTGTGGTGACTTTTCACACATTTTCTGGCAGTCCCTTGCTGTCATCCAGTGCTCAGGCAGAGCCTGGGAACTTCTTCCATTCTGAAGTTCAGATTGGTAGAACTTTCAGTTTAAAAGTTCACAATTGTCTTTCTCTTTTAGCTCAGTGGAGCATCTCTGCCTGAGTGGGGGTACCGGCAGCTGGAGGTGGTTGGAGAGAAGCTGTCCAAAGGCTACCACCAGAGCATGGTGTGGAATGTGGAAGAGCACAGATATGGCAAAAGTATGTCTTGGCCATGTTCCTGAGGCAGGTTTCATTTCATGGTGATAGGAAGGTGGTACTGTGTGTGCAGTTGGCTCTACCGTGGTGTCAGAATCCTAACAAAGTCCCTTCAAGTGCTGTTGCAGTTGGATGATGTATTGGGAAGGGCTACTTGGGAGGGTGAGGAGCCTGTGTGCTCTCTCCCCTTTCTAGCTTTCTGCCTGTTATGTGGTATTTCTGAGCTTGGTTGTTTTCTTCCAGGCCAAGAGCAAAAAGAGAGGGAAGTGGAACTCCACTCTCCCACACAGATGGACATCAGTAAAAACCTCAGCTTCATAGCAAAGTTCACAGAATTGCAAGTGAGTGTTATTCCCTTCATTTTTCCTTCTGCTGCAGAGGAGGAACCTGAGCCTTTCTACAGACTCTGAGCCTGAGGATTGCACTGTTTAATCCTTGCTGATAGTTTAGCTTCCTCACTATAAAAAAATGTTTCTGAATGCACTTATAAGGGCATTAAAGACCTGGGCTTTCCAGTAATGAATACCCAAGTGATTGTGTAACAGAAAAGGGGGAGGAAAATTGGTTGGGCACCCAGAAGCTGCCTGAAACAGAACTGTAATGTGTGGAACATGCAGTGAGTGGTGTTGATGCCCCTTACTATCTTTGTAGAAATTCATTAAGGAAAGTACATTATTTAATAACAAAATAAAACCATTGTATTGATCAGTATCCATATGAGATATGTAAAGTATTTCTCCATTCCCAGCTTAGGAACTTAACTTCTTATATCTGGAGCTGTTCACCCATGCCTGCTGCCCCAGCTGTTGTTCCAATTCTGAAAGCCTTCTGCTTACCTTTTGTTTTTTTCCCCTAGTGGAAAATACTCACATTAAAAAATGAAGACACAGAACATAAGTACAGTTCCTCTGCCCTGGACTGGATCACAATGGACACCAATATTGCCTACTGGCTCCACCCTACCTCAGGGGTAAGTACAAGAGGCAGAAGCAGTTGTGAAGCTGCAGAGAAAGTAAAGAGCTTAGATGTGAGCTCCAGGAGTGGGAGTCAGAGCAGGGCTGCAGCTTCCAGCCAAGGACTTTTCCTGTATTAATGTGTTTTCCACGAGGGTGATGTATTTATTTTAGCATGAGATACAGCTTTGACAGCAGTTGCTTCTAATTAAATCATGTTTGCTTGTGCTTTTTTTTTTAAGGTAAATTGCAGTTTAATAGTTTCCATTATTGATTTCATTTAGAAGATGAGTTCATCTCCAATAGCATCCTTTAAATGCCTTCCATTACACAAGAGTCTTAAAGCAGCAAAGTTTATCAACCAGCTTTGCTCCAGGTTACTAGGCAGGCGCAGTCTGGAGCTTAATTTAGCAAGTTTGTGTAGGTAATATTTAAACTTACTTAAAAGAACCACAGCGTGTTCCTGGTTCTGGCTTAGACCATCATCTATCCTGCAGGCCCAGATCCACCTCCTTGGGAATGTTGTCACCTGGGCTTCAGCTAATGCTGCTGCTCTGGTCTATCTGTGTCTGTCCCTGTGGTACTTGCTACGGCGAAGGAGGGAGATTTATGACATCCCTGAAGGTCAGATTGCGGTATGTGTGTTTTGTCCAGGTGGAGGTTTGTGGCTTGCTCTGCTCTGAGATGCTATCTCCTGTCTCTTGCAGATGCCTGGCAGCTCTGGATGTCAGCAGGAGGCATCTGTGGTGGAGGCTGGGCTGTGAATTACCTGCCCTTCTTCCTGATGGAGAAAACACTTTTCCTGTACCACTACCTGCCCGCTGTCACATTCCAGATTCTCCTGATTCCTGTGGTACTGCAGCATCTCAGTGATCATCTCTGCAGGTATTTGGCTTCAGCAGAATAGTTCTCTTGAACAGGAGGACTAGCACAGTTCTTTCTCCAGGGCTGTCACCTGGTAAGCTGCTGCAGGGAAAGCAGTCTTTTTTCCAGCAGTGGCCAAACTCTGTAATTTGCCTTTAGGGAAACCAGGCCAGGCACAGGTCTTTTGGATGAAGTGTTTGGCCAACCTTGATGTAACTTGAGTGCTCTTTCCCTTTCTCATCCCAGATCTGTGCTGCTCAAGAGCATGTTCAGTGCCCTGATTGTAGCCTGGTTCTCCTCAGTGTTCTTTGTGTACTGCACCTTCAGCCCCATGACCTACGGGCAGCCCGCCCTGTCCCTCACAGAACTCAAGGCCTTGCGCTGGAAGGACACCTGGAACATCCTGATGCGAAAGCAGTGACCACTCCAGCCTTGGGACAGCAAAAGGAAACACCTTTTGTGCAAAGCCAAGAATTTATTGTTAATATCATGGAAATCTTAACAGTCAGTTCAGGTATTTTGTAGTAGTCCAGATCTAACGGTTACAGGAGAAGAAAATAAAGGAACACTGTTACAGAAAAGGTCTCAACATTAATATAGCTATATGAGCACAGTTCCCAGTTTCTGCCCCTGTTACTGCCCCTCAGGGTGTGCAGGTTGCTGACTGCAGTCAACAGGATCTCAGCTCCTTTGCTGGGAAGAGCTGCAACAATTTCTTCTCTTTCCTGGGAGTACAATAGTGGTTTCTTCCTTTTGGCACTGCGTTGCACTTAGGGCTATTTCATGTGTTTTCTATCACTGTGGTCTGCAATCCCATGATATGTTTACTATAAATGGACTCTTTCCAACCCATCAGATATATTTTTCCATTTTCTTTGTTATGCCTGAAACCCAGGTTTTCCCTCTCTAAATCTTGCCCATCTTTAACAATCAGTAACTGGCCCTGCAGTCCTACAGCATCATTCCACAACTCTACTCCTCAACAATGTATTATTTGCCCCAACTTCCAATGCTCTGCTATCATTTCTATTTATGTAAATAGAGCATTAAGCTACATTTATAAATAGTTTGTTCTGCATAGAATAATGACTTGTTACTATTATCTATTTATAATCATCTGCCATAAGCATAATTTGTAAGAAGATAACCAAAATAAAAAGATATTAAAAATTGCTGTTACAGCTAAAGAAGGCTTCAGGCAAGCCAGGACTTCAGCCAAAGCCAGAAGAATCCTTTGGCCATGTGGCACTGCTGTAAAGCCTGGGGCCTGTTACCAGCAGTGGCAGTACTGCCATTGCACCTCAGATCCCATGGAAAAGGAACAATGGGCAAAGTAGGACTGATCCTGCTAACAAGGAAACCTGCTCCAACTTATGCACATGGGTTCAGGGTGAAAACACTGAAACCCAACCCCTGGCCTGGCCTGCACCAGCAGAGAATTCACAAAGAAGAAGACAAAGGTGAAGGACTGCAGGAATTTGTAATGGCTCTGTCCAGGTGTCTGAGCAGGCCTGTAGTACCTGGGCCACATTCCATTTCTGTATCTCCACATGGCTGCAGCAGCAGGTCCTGCAGGGCAGCACAAAGCTGCCACAGCAGCATTCCCACACCCTAGGGGCTCTTGGCTATGCAGTTCCTCACTGCTCTAACAAATTCTATTCAAGGTTTTCCCCCACCTCCCCAAGGAAGGTATGATCCAGCACCACAGTCACTGAAAGTAGGTTTTAGTGACTATTTTGCACCTACTGCAATCAGCCCTGAGAGCTAATGCTTCAGTGCAGTAGCTCATACTCTTGAGTCTGTCACCATGAACTAAACAGCACCCAGCAGCAGTCAGGAAATGCTCCGCCTTCTCCTGGGCACTGCAGAAGTACCACTGAACTATCACTGAGATACCAAACCTTCACCCCTTTCCAGAGCTGAAAAGACTATAGGGATGAAAGTGTAGACTGCATTTCTTAACTTTGTGTTTTTTTCTCTAAATTTTCACGCATGACAAAACCAATTCTGAGTTAAGGGGAGAAAGAACTGTTGAGTATAAGAGCCCCTCCAACAGTGTTCCTTTCTGTGCCTTTTTGCTGGCATAGTGAAAGTACCAGAATTACCTTTAAAAAAAACGGTCATTTCTGATCACTGTTCATTTATTTATTTGCCAAAGTAATACACCCACAACCACCACAGCCAAACCCTGCTTTTAGAAAATTAGCAAATATGAAAAAGTTCCTCTTAGTAACATTTCCCTCCCACCCTCATTCTCAAAATTACACCTAAGTCCAGACTCAAGAACAGTATCACAGGAACATTTTCAAAGGTCCAACCAACACTTCATTGCAGATTTTCCTTTTCCAGAGAGATACTTCATACTGCTGCAGTATCACTTATCTGGGGTAAACTACAGAAACTGGGATATCACTGTTTGTACTTCTTGTCTACTCTTTTTAGAAAACCAGACATTCTTGAGTTGAAGCTGCTGGAGTGCAAGGCAAGCGCTCTGACGCTGTCTGAGGGTAGAACATGTCCAGGCAGCTGCTTGTGCCAGCAGGAGGAGGGTCCTTTCCCAGTTTCCCCCCTTGCTGACCTCACCAGCCATCTCTGGAAGTGGACGGATTCTGCCCAGCAGAATTTGCAACCAGCAGTAGAGAAATGCACAAAAGACACTAATACTGACAAGGTCAGGTTTCTGTTTCTATGAGCAACTCAATCCAGTTGGAGCTCACACATTGAGTAACTATGGTAAAGCACACTGGGTACAAAATATAATCATACTGTGTAGCAAGATTCAGGAACTTGGAAAGGAATAAATTAGGAATTACTAATTAGGAATTAGAACCACTAAACTTCTTGGGCCTGTCCCCTGGTGAACTGCAAGTTCCCATTTGTTGCAGACAGTCTCTGTCTCACCCCTGTCTCAAAGGGAGAGGTGCCTCTACAGGTCAGTCCCTCTGACCCCACCGGCTAGAAGGAGGCTGGCCAGCAGCAGAGCATGGCCATAACTCAAGGTGCCAACAAGGTGGAGAAGAGTAAAGCTTGTTAAAATTAACAACATGTGAGCTAGTCTTGGATAGAGAGAAAAACACCCAAGAGGCAGATGATTTTCCTGCTACAGATGACCATCATCAGGGAAACAGGATATCTTGCTAGTCACTGATAGTGCTTAATTTTCAGGGGAATATCAGCATTAGATCTCATTTTGAAAATTAAAAAAAGGCAAGTAGCACAGCCTTTAACCAGTTCATCAAGTAACAACTCCACACATCTCAGAGAGAATAGGGAGGGGTTTAGAGGGAAGGGGGATGGATGGCCAACCCCTTCCTCTCTGTGAGATTCCCACCAGGATCCCCTCCGCTGCTAGAACGACTTAAGGGGCACTTCACCAACCATTCCGTGGAAGTCCTTTCCCAAAGTTGTCTTCGGTGTTGGCGTGGACCAGAGGCAAACCCTGGGGCCGTGCCGGGTTAGTGAGGGCGGCTGCTGGACTCGAGGTGGGAGCGCTTCCCAGCCGCCAGGACAGCGCCGCTCTCCGCCTGCTCCGGGAACGGCCGCTTGTACGTCCGGCTGTGCCCGTTCAGAGCCCCCCGCTGCCACTTGCAGATGTCTCCGTTCAGGATGTCCTGAATGTGCTGCACAATCAGGTTTATGGCAACTGCAGAGAGGAACGGGGAATACAGGACGTGAAGGCTCTCCTGGCTGAGTTATCTAGAAAATGTGGAGCATCCAGACCTGCTCAACTCAAGTTTTAACAAGCCCTTAAATTAAACTCTGCCTGCTGTCTGCAGTGAGGTCAGGCCTAACAGGTCACTTTTCCAGGCCTCCACAGGCTGAGCAGCTGGTCCTTTTGATCAGCTCCCTCCCCTCCGGCAAAAATCCCTTCCTCAGGAGCAGATGCTCAAGGCAGCAGTGTGCCTCCTGCTCTCTTCCCAGCCCCAAAGGTGTCTCCCCAGGGAACTCAGGGAACCCAACTCCCTTTTACCCATGTTGTCAACTCCACGGGGGATGATCACATCTGCATACTTCTTTGTCTGCAAAACAGAAACAGTGGTGGAGGAGGCTGTTAATGGGAAAGTCAGCTTCATCCCAGTAAGAAGCAACCAAAGGCAAAAAAGCTGGGCAAAGATAGAAGGTCCTGCTGTTCCAGGGTTGTAAATTAAAGCTCTCTCTCATGGTAACAACCTAAATGAATTACAGTTCAAATGGCAATGGCAAATGTGCACTGGATTTAAGCTCATGGATTCTTCTTATTGTCCCTTTGCAGAGAATCACCAGGTAGAAGCAGCAGGTCAAGTGTGGAGTCCTTTGCTTTTACTCATCTGAGCTGCCTTCAACCATTGCCCACTTCAGGCAAGGTCTGTTTGCCAAGAGCTGGTTTTAATCAGCATTTTTCAAGCCATTGCTAAATCTCTGCTGAGAGCCAAGGTATCCAATGTGCATGTGAAATTCCTGCCTGCTTCTGATAACATTTTATTGATCTTTACTACCATAGCACTCCTGCTTTTTCTTTCCCCCCACAGCTGGAAAAAAGCTGGCAAATTCAGCATTTCTAAGGAATAGTTTTTGAATCCCAGAATTCCTTTGATCTAGAGCAAGAGGTGCCTGAGTTAACCTTTTCCAACTTATTTAATCCACATACTGGATTTTGTTCTCATAGGTTTTTTCACAAATTAATTTGATTATGTGAGCACCTAAACTGGTCTCACACTACATGGTCTAGCAAGCAGAGCTAGAATGGTCTGCACAAGGTTTTCAACAGTGATCCCTCTGAGAAAGGCTGCTGGAAACCAAGCTCTTCTTTCTTCCTACAAGACTTAAGAATAAACTGAGAGTGGGAGTGTTTCATTCAGAGGGACCCATGCTTAAATAGCCCCAGCAGCCAGCAGTGAGAAAATGTGCTTGAGGCATTTCCATGGTGCTTCACCAGCAGAAAGGGATCATTTCAGTTCCTTAACAACCAGCTTGAAATGACTGAAGACATGAGGCAGAGGGGAAGAGCGTGGGATTTGTGAAATACAAATACCAAAAGCCACCACTGCTGCACTTAGAGCAGCTAATTCCCAGACAACCATGCTCCTCAGAAAAAGAAGACCCCACAAACAAAATCAGTGAAAAGCTTCATACCGGTAAGCAGAACTCCTCAAAGGCAGGCTTGACAAACGTGGTGTACTGGGTGAGGATCTGCTCCAGGTCCCTCCCACGTTTCATATCTCGCAGAACTGGGACGGGCAGATAAAAGCCCTGAGGGCTGTCTCACGGTGGGGATGGATAAGGAGCAGGGGCACGGCGGGGCTTTACCTCTGCGGGACAGCCGGACGTCAGAGTCTGTGTCCACAAAGAGACGGAGGTGGAACATGTCCCGAATGTCTTGATTGTAGAAAACCAGGATCCCCTCAAAGAGGACGACATCAGCAGGATACACCACCGTCGTTTCTGCCAGCCTGCCAGGAGAGAACACCCAGAGCACACTGGTAAACAGGCCTCACGTCAGCACCAAGTGATCTGTCCCCAGGCCGGGGACACCCTCACACAACCCAGGACTTCAGAAAAAGCCAGAGCCTACCTAGAATGTGTCACAAAGTCATACGTTGGTACCTCAACTGTTTTGCCCTCAACAATGTTTTTCAGGGTTGAATGCATCAAATCGTTATCGAAGGCATCTGCAAGAGGAAAGTTTAAAGAGAAGGACTTTGAGATGCTGTTGTATCAAATGTTCTGCTCAGATAAGGAAAAACCCTCTGCCCAATATTTCACCAGGAAAAAAGGAACTTGCAGCTTATTCATTCCTACCAGTGGCAACACAACGCTCTGCCCAAGTGACAATGGCTGTGTCTGGTTTCAGAGATAAGGAAGAGACAGTTTGCTGTTTATAAGCAACTACACAATGAAATTAAGAGCTCAAAGGTGAAGCTGGTCGTTGTAAAATTTTATCAACCCACTTAGTAATTGTGTAATTTTGTGCAACTGTTCATCTGTTAGTCAAGAGCCAATTGGAAAACCCCAGGCATCTTTCATGGTTTCCATTACCCACCCAACAGGCACCACACTTCAGCCAAGGGCCAGCTCCCTGTCCCGCCTACAATCCACAGCACTGCCCCAGGCAAGGGGAGCAGCTGTTTATGTGGACAAGAAGTAACAGGAAAGGATTTGGAGAATGATGTGGTTCACTAAGGAGCCTCTCGAGAGCCGGGAAGTGGAGCACGGAGCAGGCTGGGATGCTCTGCACCTCTCCCTGCCTCCAGAAGGGCCGTCAATATCACCGGGCACACGGGAAGGACAAATGGATGTTTCGGTGGGGGAAAGCACATTTCTGTTCTCCAACACTTCCCATTTCCTACCGGAGCTTTCCCTAAGACCCAGCTGCGCTCCACGCACCGACCGAACCCTGCTGGGGCCGGGACAGTGAGGGGCTCACCCGGGTGGTCGAAGTTGTACTGTCCCTTCAGCGCCTTGGCCTGCTGCTCGGCCGTCAGCACCTTGTAGAAGCTGTCCTGGCTGAGGATCAGCACCTTGCGCTGCCGCTGCTCCACCTCGTTCTGCCCCAGCAGCTCCATGATCTTCTCGCACACTGTGGACTGAGCGGGACGGAGGCTCAGGCGCGCCGGGGGGACCCCGACCCTTCCCGCGGCGCCCGGGCCGGCCCGACCCCCGGCCCGAGCTGTCCCCGGTGCCGGGGCGCAGGGGGCAGCCCGGGCCGGCACCGGCGATGCCCCCGCGGGCGCCGCGCAGCTCCCGCGCCGCGCGGGCTGCCGGGGGCGGGGGTGAGCCCCGGCACGGCCCGCACAGCCCCCGGCACGGCGGGCTCACCTTGCCGCTGGCGGTGCCGCCGCTGACGCCGATGAGGAAGGGCTTGGGGTGCGGCCGCTCCGCGTCCGGGCCGCCCGCGGACGCCATGGCGGGAGGGACGGGGGGGCGTGACCGGAGGCGGAGCCTGACATGGGGCGTGGCCTGATGGGGGCGTGGCCACGCGCGCTGAGCGCGTCCGGTGTCAGCCCCGGGGCCAGAGCATCGGCACGGACAGAGGGACGGACGGACAGATGGATGCACGGACACACCGAGGGATGGACGGACACACCGAGGGACGGACAGAGAGATGGAGAGATGGGTGGAGGGACAGATGGACAGCCGGACGGCTCTGCCTTGTTACAGACAATGCTGCCTTACCCAGGCACTTGTATGAGCGTGTGTGAGTGCACGCCTGCTCCCAGGTGGGTGTCTGACACCTCTTCCCGTGTGTCTGACACCTGTGCCCATGTGCCTGCTCACAGGTGTTCCCGTGTATGTTTTAACCTGTTCCTGAGTCCACACGCAGGTGCACACAGAGCGCCGTGCACGGGAACTGCGAAGAAACACCTGAAGGTACAACCCAGAGACACCAGGACACATAAATACACATACGGGTAAGACACGTACAAACAGTGTGTGCGCACACATCCTGTGCGTGGGGTGCGATCGAGATATCTACACACACACGTTAAATATTAATAGCTATAGCTAGGGTATACAGGATTTTATATACATTTTGTGTATAAATAGAGCCGGAACACACACCACATTCTACATGTAAATACAATATTCTAAAATAAAACCAAATCACGTGTTTAAATATGAATAAATTGCTGGGGAGCTCCTTGACTGCCCTGCTCCCAGCGCCGGTTCCATCGGCCGCAATGGACCCCGGACCCACCGCCCGACGCCGTTTGCCTCCCCGGAGCCCCCCGCTGCCGGGGGCCGGTCCGGGGCGGCCCCGCCCGCAGGGCCTGGGCAAACAGCGGGTCAATGATTAACCGGGCCCGGCCGCGCTCCCGCCGCCCGCGCGGGGCCACGCGGGGCTCGGGGAGGGCGGCGGGGCCGGAGCGGGGCCGGGCCCCGAGCGGCGGCAGTTGGGACCCCGCGGGCACCGGCGTGAGTGGGGCCGGGGATGGGGCGCTGGGGCGGGCAGGGGACCGGGCGTTGGGGCCTCGGCACGGCCGCGGCCCCGAGGGGAGCACAAGGACAGCCCCATCCCACCCCGAACCACTTGAGTGGCTGTGCCGGGAATGTTCCGTCCCATCAGAACCTCCCTGTCCCCGCAGGCGTCTCCGCGGATGGACGGTGAGCCGCCAGGCGGGCCGCAGGGCCCCGCAGCCCGGGGAGCGGAGCAGGGCGATGGCAGCGGGGCGGCCGGGGCGCTGCCCACCCCCGGCACCCGCAGCGATCCCCCCGCGGGCCGCGGGGACAGGGCCGTGGCGGTGTCGGTGGTCGCCAACTCAGCCTTCGAGGGGGCCCCTCCGCCCTACTCGCCCCCGGATCCCAAGAGCTTTCACCTCTATCCGCCGTTCCCAGCCGGCTTCTCCCAGCAAGGGCCCGTCATTTACCAGCCGGGGCCGGGACCGCGGCCCTTCCCAGCCCCGGGCTTCCCTCCCGGGCCCCTGCCCTACACCACGGTACGTATCCCGCACCCCGACGTGTTCCTGCCCCGCTCTGCAGCGGGAGTCACCCCTTATCTCCCCTGCCGGGTTTGTGGAGCTCCGTGTGTCGCCCAGCCCGGGAGGGGAGCGCTCCCAGCGCTCTGGCAGCTCTAACCACCCCCTGTGCCTCAGTACAACGCGCAGCCGGGCCACGGGCCCTTGTCCGCCGGCCGCGGGCAGCAGCTGCCCAAGGACTACATGGTGGAGTCGGTGCTGGTGACCCTCTTCTGCTGCCTGCTGACCGGGGTCATGGCCCTCGTCTACTCCCATGAGGTAAGGAAGGAGTCACCCGGCAGCCCCGAAACCCCTCCCGGTGCTGCGGGTCTCTTCTAAGCCCTCCCCTTCTCCCCTGCGCCAGACCCGGGCTGCGCTTGCCCGTGGGGACGTGGCCCAGGCGCACGTGGCATCCAGAAAGGCTCAGTCACTGGTCCTCTTCAGCCTCCTCTTCGGTTTGTTCGCCTCCATCACCTGGATCATCTACGTCCTGGTGTCCCTGTACTTGTGACAAGGACCCTGAGCCCCAGGGACGCGGCGTGTGCCAAGAATTCCTTGTGGCTCCCCACCTGGGGCCGGGGAGGGGCACGGGCAGCTGGAGTTGCCACAGCCTTGTGACAAGGGTGACAGATAAGTGTTACTGGGGCTGCGGGGCGAGGAGCTTCCCCGGAGCCTTCAGCCATCTGCTCAGGCCTGCGAGCCCCGGTCTGGGCAGGAGGAGCCCGGAGCAGGGAGATGCCGGATCCAGCTCTGGGCAGGGAGCTGTGTCGGATCCATGGGCGCGACCAGGCTCTGCTGCAGGATGCTGAATCCCACTGCTGTGGGCCGTCACTTGGAGCTGCCAGTCTGGTGCAGAGCGAGCATCTTGTAGGATTGGGGTTGGAGATGGAGCAGAAGTAACAGGTGTGTGGGAAGCCCTCGCTGATCATTAACAATGTGAGAAGATACAAACCCAGGTATGCTGTCCTACAGTAATTCTGCACACACACACACACACACCTTGCCGCCTTCTTGCTGCTTCCAGATTGAAATAAAATGCAGCTGTAGCCCAAGCTTCTGTTTTCTCTGCACACCAAGGGCCCATATCTCCCCTTGCCATGGGCTTTGTCCACCACAAAATTCAGGGTAAGTTCTCCTGCAACAGCTGAAATCAGGGTTTTCCCTAGAGCAGTTGGGCACCAGGCTTCCGGCCCATGTAGGACCCTGGGGAAGGGGAATCTCCACATGTCCCCAGGCCTGGGGGTGTCACTGGCTGAGCTGCTTGGGGGGACACCGAGCTGTGCACAGACCCCTCCTGCTGTGCTGGGCCCCTGGCATGCAGCCCCACATTCCAGCCCTGGTGCAGGGGGCATGTGCTCGGTCACTGTCTGGGCATTCTCCTCCTGAGCTGGCCCATGACAATTATTTCCAGAGGAATTTTGAACCCTGTCCAGGACTGAAATAGCACCGTGGAGCAGCTCAGCCACTGCAGAGGTTATTTATAGCCCTGGGCTGCCGGCACACGGCCACTGCACGGGCTGGGCACACGCCGGGGGCCGGGCAGCCAAAACCCCTGACGGGGACACCGGTGCCCAGACAAGGTGACAGGAGTAGATTTCCCCTCCCAGGTGTATGGCTTGTACTGGGGAAAAGCCATCTTGGCAGAGAGAGGGAAGAAATCTGTAGTGAAAAAATGAAAAAGAGGCATGGGCAGAGAAAAACCACATGAGAAAACACGAAGCCACACCAGCGCCAGAGGCGGATTCGATTGTCACTTTAATCCACAGACTGTGCATGCACTGTAAACAGGATCATCAGGCAGGTTCACTATTGGTGTTTTATTTGTCTTTAATATAAAAGTTACAGGTCTGAAATGTTTGCAGGAAGATGCCACCATGGGGGTTAGTGGTAAATCTATAATACAATGGAACTGCTTGGGGGGAGAGGCCTGGGAGTGGGGCAGGGGGCTGGTGACTGGGGGCATCGCTTCTCCCCACTCCCTGCCCCGTGTGGGGAGGGGACTCAGACTCTTCCCTCTCCCCAGAAAAGGTGATGGTCTTAAGGATGCTGCCTGCAAGATAGGAACACACTCGTGGCCAGTCTTGCACAAGGATGTTCTGGGTTTCTGCTCCCCAGGGACTGCTCCTGGAGGGGGGGAGTGGGGTTTCTCTGTTCAGCAAACCTGAAGCTGCTCCAGGCAAGGGGACCCTCCTCTAGGGTCCCTCCAGCCCTGAGAGCCTGGTCTGAGGGTGGGACATGAGCCAGGAGCTGCAGCTGGGACCCTGCTCAGCTGGGGATGGCAGCAGAGGAAGGGGTGACGGGGGAGGAAAGCTTGGGGAGGAAATCTGGGAGGCCCCATCCCACTCAACAAGGTGCTGTGGCTTCCAACCTCCCATCCCGATGCCATGGGCTGAGCTGTTGGCTCTGGGGGTTGGCAGAGGGTGAGACCTCCTTTGGGACAACTGGGCTCGTGGGTTCAGGTGCAGGAAGAACCTGGAAATGGCTCCTGCTGGCGGGGACCACAGAACCACAGAATATGCTGACCTGAAAGGGACCCACCAGGGTCACTGAGTCCAACTCCTTGCCCTGCACAGGACAACCCAAAAATCCCACTATGTGGGAGCGCTGTCCAAACACCTCTTGATCTGACAGGCTTGGTGCTGTGACCACTGCCCTGGGGAGCCTGTTAACAGTGCCCCACCACCCTCTAGAGGAAGAACTTTTCCCTGATTTCCAACTTAAACCTCCCCTGACACAGCTCCAGCCTTTCCCTCGGGTCCTGTCACAAGTGAAGAGATCTGCACCTGCTCCTTGTGAGGCTGCTGAATACCACAATGTCTCCCCTCAGTCTCCTCCAGGCTGAACAAACCAAGTGTCCTCAGCTGCTCATCACAAGGCCCCTCCAGACCCTTCCCCATCCTTATGGCCTCCTTTGGACACTCTCTAATAGCTTAATATCTTTTTTATATTGTGGTGCCCAAATTTAGTGTTGTCAGCAAAGTTCCTTAGTATCCCTTCCAGTCCTGTGTCCAGGTTGTTAATGAAAATGTTGAAGAGCACAGGGCCAAGGGTGGAGCCCTCTGGAACCCCAGTCACTGCCATTTTTGGGGTGTCCTGTGTGCCCAACCCATGAGCCACTTGCTCATCCCTCATGTAACACGGTCACACAGCTGGATGAAGACAAGCTGCTCCCTCCTGTGCCTCTGAACCCCCAGGGCTGTGATTCCAGAGCCACCACCACACTCAGCCCTCCTAGGACACCCTTCCACTGCACCCAAGGGCTGCTCAGAGCCTCCAGGGTGAGGCCAACACCACATCCTGGTGTTTTCATAGCCTTTTTCACCACCTCACCATGCTGGGCTTTTGAAAGATCTTATTTGCAAAGGAAGCATGGACATTACTTCCTGGGAAGCCTCTGGGGATTGCAAAGCCTTGGCTGGACAGAACACACAGCTCCAATGCCCTCAGTGCCACGAAAATCACTTTTGAAGTGTTCTGGTTCAGACACTGAGGTTCAGCACAAAAGATTCCTGCTCCTCCTGCTCTGGGGCTGCACAGAGCCGTGTTGGACCCCACACTCCCCTCCCCAGGAAGATGCCCTCACAGGCAGGGGGGTCTCTTTGTGCTTGGCCACTGTGTGAGTCTCGTGCCTGAGTCTTCAGGAAAAAAAAAAACAAGCTGGGTAAAACCCCGGGCTGTCACTCCCTCCTGAGAGTCAAGCAGAGCTGGCCAAGGCTTTGCAATCTGTTTGGAGAAGGAAAGGAGTGCAGTTCTGATTAACCCAGAACAAACAGAGGCTTTTGCAGGCACAGAGCTGCTACTGAGATATAAGGATGCTCTGTGAAACTCCAAGTCTGTGTTCCTTGGGAGCTGCTGCCCTAAACCTGCAGGATATTTTGTCAGAACCCTGTAAAAACCTGTGACCACATGACAGGGAGCTGAGGAGGGTCTTGCAAGGTTGCTGAAACCTGCAGGGCACACTCACACCCACGATCCAACTGCAAGGCATTGGAGCAGGACAGAGAGGAGGGATGTGAAATGGCCTGGCTGGGGCTGTGCTGGGTGGGACACAGAGAGGGAACAGAGGGGCTGAATAAGGCACACTGAACAGATTGGGGTTAACACTGTGTGTGTGGGAAATGACACCCCAGCCTCGTCCTTCCATGCTGGGCTGTCCCTGCCCTGCTGGCACCAGCACAGCGGGACTGGGGACAGGGACCTGCCGGGTCCTGCCAGAGCACGGCTCTCAAAGCACAGCACAGAGGGTCCCAACAGGGACCCCCAGAGAAAAACATTTGGCAACAGAGAGAGAGGAGTGGGTGGGAGGACAGGGTGGCTCAGCCGGGCACAGGGCTCCTTCCTGGTTCTCACTTCCAGCCCAGAAATGGATCTGCTGGCTCCTTCACGAGGCTCCTGCCCCTGCTCTGCAGCCAGTGCCCACCCGGCTGCCCTGAGCCTCCTTTATCCAGCACTTGGAACAACACTGTCACTGGTTGTGGATTTTATACAGACTGGTTTGCACTTTTCTTCTGTTCTTTTTCCTATAAACTCATCGGTATTCAGACATGCATCAAAAATCCCCAGGGGGTTCTAAACACTAGGTATGTACAGTCTGTATCCTACAGCATTTCCTGTGCAAAAGCTAAGTACCATCGCTAAGAGATACGGGGTCACAGGCAGGTGACCCCCAGTACCTGGGCAGTCCATGTTTCCAGGTTCAGAGGGATTTACTGTTGCTTAAATAACGAGATCTGAGAGGAGGAGGGGGTGTGATGACTGGAGATGGCGGGTCCCTGCCCACATTTTCAGTGCCTCTTCTGTATCGACGACCAGAGCCTTCCTCCCATGAAGAAGGCGCCAGAGATCTGGGGTGAGCCGAGACCCCTGTAAACACAAGCAGCTCTCTGGAAGCAGAGCTCCTCTGGCAGGCAGGCAGGAGATGCTTCCATCCTCATGAACACGTTGGGAAGGTGGCATTGCAGGGGAGACTCCAACCCTTGGCTTCCACAGCTGCTGCTGCCCGACACTGCTCCGGAGATGAGTCAGTGTGTGCTGAGCTCCTGCTGCCCCTGCTCTGCGGATGGAAACAACAGCCAGGGTACATCTGGATGCAAGGGGCCAGCAAACCAGCAACACGCTTGTGTGGGACACTCCTTTCACACAGCTCTGTCCCCGGGGTTAAAGCTGGTTCATGGCACAGAGGGATGGGAGAAGGAGGAGGGCAAGTGCAGCGAGCACCGGCCGATCTCTGCCCTTGGCGGCTGCGCCGGCGGCTCCGCACCCAGCATTGCCACCCCCAGGGATGGCTGCCAGCTGGGAGGGAGGGTGTGTCATCCAGTGACAGGTACAAACATTGAACTCCAGTCTCATAGCTGCCCTCGGCGCCTCTGCGGAGCAATTCTCCTTGCACAACCTCTCCTCCTAGGTTTTCTCTTCCCGATCTGTTTTCCGCCTTGTGATGTTCCGAGGTTTGATTTTCAGGGACAGTTCCCACAGGGCCTCCTCAGCCAGGTGGTCGCTGAAGTCGTTGAAGAATGACACTATGTCGTCATTCCTTTTGATATCATAATGTCTGGAAAACCACAGAGGAGCTGCAGTTAAACAAGGGCTACCTGAATCCTCTCCTCTGGGCCACCCCTGTCCTGCTCTAAGGAGATCCAGCACTGTGTGTGGGCTGTGCCCAGTACTCATGACAGTGGTGGACACCACAAAGGGGAAAAACCTGCCACTGAATTGAGGGGAAAAAGGCACCTATCACACAGAAATGAGCAGCTAGACCTGCTGCTTCTGCTGCAGGACAGCACTGAAGAAAACCCTGAATATCCCAGAGAACATGGGAACCAGCAACAGCAAAACCTGAAGGCAAAACTTGTCTGGATCTCAAAACAAGTATCAGGGAAAATGTCCTCACAATGTTTATCTAACCTAGAGAGGGAAGGAGACTGACTGGAGCCCTTGGCTGGTTGCTCCCAGCTCTCCTTCCACCTCCCTTCCCATTTAGACTCCCTTCTTGCACAGGGGCTCCCATGTCCATGCCCCTGCCCCAAAGCCACCTCCCAATCCCACTGCTGCACTTACACTTGCTGGAAGCACCTCATGCTGTCCAGGATGTTAAACTGCTGCCAGCGCTTGGAAAAGTTCACTTTGCTGTCAATGTAATCAGGGTTTCCCAGATGGACAAAGGTCAGGTCCTGCAGAATTAGGCCTCTGAAAGAAGGAAAGGGGCAGCAGGCCACGGGAGTAGGCAAACAGACACAGAGGTTAGTCACACAGGGCAGGGTGGCCAGCCAAAAGGCAGCCCAACAAAATCCAGCAGCCTCCCACTGCCACCAGAATGGCAACCTTATCCAGAGGGAAACAATCCCCAGCAGCACATCCAAAGGTTTTTAGATGCGAACACCCCCAGCTGGCCACCCCGCCTCAGAAAAATTGCTCCAGAGAGGGCCTGTGGGCTGATGTGGCACGGTGCTGCCTTACCCCAATTGCTGGGCAAAAGGCAAAGGCTGAGCTCAGCAGCAGCTGCTGAGAAATCCTTGAAGGAGCCATTTTAATGTGCAGAAGCAGAGGCAGAGGAAGGAACTGGCCACTCACAGGTAGGGGATGCAGGGGGGCTCTACGTCGGCCAGGGCCGCTCGGTAGGCGCGGAAGGACGAGGAGCTGTCGATCAGGGTGCAGTACTCAGCCAGGCCCTGCAGCACACAAATCCCGTGGTGACACCCCTGCTGCAAACCCATTTTTCTTGTCACCTCCCCCCAGACAGCCACACAGAGCAGGGAGTTAATGCCATCCTGCAAACATCTCCAGCTGATTTACTCAGGCCAACCCTGGGGTGCTCAAGTGGAGCATTGCTGCCTTCAGCCTCCCCAAGCCTCGGGCTGCAGGAGGAGGAGGAGGAGGAGGAGGAAGAGGAGGCTATTTCTCTTCTGTGACTGTGCTGGCACTCCTGCAGCTGTCAGAATGCCCAGCCACACTGAAGGCCTCCAGCACTGTGGCATTTTACCCACTGGAGAGGAGTCATCCACCATCCCTCCACCCTGGGACACTGCTGAGATGTAAAACCATTCAGCTGTTTCATACATAAGCACACTTATCCTTCCCTCAAAGATCACAGGCCCCACTGCTCCTCACCTCTGAGGTTTGCTTCTGCCACTCCAGCCTTCGGATGGGTGCAGAATCCAGTGCAGAAAGAATGGCCAGATAGGAATTAAAATTATTCAGCTTTCTTAAGTGCTGTGAAGAGGGAGAATATTCCAGTTACTCGAGAGTTCTGAAAAGCCTTCTAGCATCAAACAGCTCTACCAAGCAGAGCTCTACCCCACTCCCCTGTTCCTTAAAGCAGCAATGTGTGTGATTCACAGAAAAAACCAAGCTGGTACCTTCATAATCTTTATAAATTTAAGGAGCAGCCTCTCTCGGTCCTGGGCTTTCTCTTGTAGCATAATTATTGAACGGACCCTGGAAGAACAGACAGAATAAAAGGTAAACCTACTTAAGCAGAGATCAGATTTCCTCTTGTTTCATTAAGAAAACTGATCACTAATTGGGATGGGCCAATATTGAAAAGTTCACAATACCTCCAACTTAAATGGAGCACTCTAATCCACAGCAAAGACAGGATAATTTCACAGAGTGCATTTATTTGCAAGGGGAATGCTTGTTTGAAGAGCTCAGTGATACTGATAATTAATTCCTCTGGATTACAAGGCCTTCCCTAACCCTCCTGATTTAATTTCTGCTGTGCTCTGGCGTCTTAGATGAGTGCTCTGCATTTACTTCCTAGCCAAAAATATACATTATCCCATTTGTAACAAAGGAACCCAAGTCTATGAGGAATACTTGGAAGATTTGCAAGGCATTGGAGGTTAGGCACAGTTCAGTGCCATGGCTGTTCTGAGCTCCTTACCAGTAGGACATGTTATTAAAGTGCTCTGTGAACTGCGTCAGGTTGGGACTCTTCTCTTCATTTTGTTCCTTTGCCCAAAGCAGAACTTCTGGGATCTGCCAAGGAAGGAGAGGGGTGGGAAAATACCACACATTAAAATGGGATTTGTACCCCAAGATTCCCAGTTGCAGCCTTTGCTCACAGCCACTTGCTGGCACAAGATCAGCTGTGTCCTACAGTCCAGCAGGTGTCTGGGAGAGCTGGCAGGGAATACCAGACATTGCAGAAGGTCCAAACCCTCCCCCTGCCCTCAGCCCATCCTCATCTCTGTACCTCGATTTTATAGAAGAGTTCAGCATCCAGCAGGGTCAGCTGCTCGGCTATTTCATGGCTGTGGAAATCATGCAGTGTCCCTGGCCTGTGGAAAACAACGAGGAAGTACAAAGCCTCAGAACACGTGATCTGTTTTCTTATCTTGTATTTTGAACTGAGGAAACTCCTGTGTTCCCAGGGAAGGGATGTCCTGGCTCTCAGAGGACCCAGATATTGTTATGTGCACCTCTCCTCACCTGGCTGCCACCCCTCTGGCTGCCAGAGGTTTGATGGAGTTGGCGTAGCTCAGCATTTTCTTCTGATCCACTTTATCCAGGATGTTCTTGCGCAGCACTCTGGCCAGGCTCAGCTCCCCGCTGCAGACCAGCCGGAACACCAGGTCCATCAGCAGCTTGAGGATTTCCTCTGTCAATTCCACCAAGCTGAGTGGAAGATGGAAAATGCAGCAAAAACATCAGAGCTAAGACACTGAGCAATGGGGTTTGTATCTGTACCAAGTCTTACTGCTCTTTCCTACAAGCAGAACTGGCTGACTGAAATTCCTCTTCTTCCCAGCTCTTCCCCTTTTACTTGCCATTTTAAAACCACTGACCCAGTGAGGACACACAGGAAGAATCTGTTCTTCCAACACGAGAGTTCAGCACTACAGGTGTCTTGCTGGTCAGGGTCAGGGGATTTCAGCTCCCATTGTAGATGGGGTTAAAAAAAAACATCTCTAAAACCCACATTTTCCCAGCTGCCAGATTTCTGTGAGTTACTGACCTTGCATCCCAAAATGAAGAAGGCAACTCACCACAGCTCATCCACCACTCGCACCAGCACGAAGAAGGTGTTCTTACTGACTCGCTTCTTGAACGTGTCTGGGAAGTGGCAAAACTTCTCATATGTTGCTTGCAAATTAAGAAATCAACTCAGTGTAGTCAGACCAGCATCAGTGCAATTCCCAACTGCCTCTAGGAATCATAAAATCATTGAATGATTTGGGATGGAAGGGACCTTAATAATTATCCACTCCCTACCATGGGCAGAACACCTTCCACTGTCCCAGGTTGCTCAGAGCTCCATCCAGCCTTGCCTTGGACACTTCCAGGGATGGGGCAGCCACATTAGAACACCACACTGTTCTGTCCTGATGGAAACTGGTGTTCAGTTTCCAGGAGATCAGAGACAATGATACGGCATTAAACCAACACCAGCTGCTGGTAGCAGGAGGTGTGAGGAGGTACTTACACCTCAGAGAATTGAGAGCAGGTGTACCCTGAAACTGTTCTCTCTAAGGTGGAATTTAATGAGCAGCATTTCCCTACAGTGATCTCCTCCACTGGTCTGTGACATCTGGTCTCAACAGATCTCAGATGTCACCTCCACCTTCCTGGCTGCCCTGCCCAATCTGCTGCAAGGAGGACAGTGATAGGGGCAAGAGCACAGGTTGAAAAACCTTCTGCCAGGTGGGCAAAGGGACAGAGAACAAGGTTATCAGTAAGGCAGCACTGGCAGAGGCCTGCAGGTGTACCACAGCCAGGACTGTCACCTGGCCTGAGCCGTGCTGTGTCCTTGGCTGCCGATCCCAGCTGGAGCAGTGGCTCTGCTGCAGATGGCACTGATGAGCTGCAGCAGGACATGGTGACGTCAGGCTCCCTCTGACGTGGGTGCACAGCACCAGAGCCAGGGGCCCCAGCACTGCCAGGGTGGTGATGGGGCCACAGAGCCTGCCCTACTGGCAGGGAACAGAGCCAAGGGCAAGCAATGGCAGCAGGGTGCTCAGGGAGAGGCCTTCTCCATCCTCTGCCAGGAATGCTCACCCTGCACGTCAGCTACAAGCCCAGCTCAGGACTGGGAGGCCAAGAGCACAGCATCTCTAGGGCTGAGTTTACTGCAGTGAAAGAGAGAGTCTTGATGGTTTCATCATCTCTAATATTAAACTACACAGGCAATGACCATGGCACCTCTGGAAGGCAGAAGGTTCTCTGGTCCCCACTCTAACAAAGGAAATGTCCCAAATGAAAGGCCAGTTCCCCAGTGACATATAAAAAACCTGAATTGCTCCTCTACACTGCCAGGACCCTCTGGAAACAATTCCCAGATCCAGTATCCATTGTGACCAGACCTGCCCTGCAGGAATTCCCACTGGAGAGAGTGGAGGTGAAGGAATTCCTGCCTGGGACACCATCAGGGCCAGCACATCACTGACCACGCTGCCAACAGGCTTTTGACCAAAAACCTTGCCACCAGCTCCCTCCACGATGACGGTGCAGCTCTGATTCCTGATGGGAGTGAACTGCCAGTCATAAAAGGATATCTGTACTGCAGCTTCTTGATGAGCTCTTCAGGGGTAATGAATGTCCTGTATGTAGTCAGAAAGGCTTCACAGTACAGTACCAGATCTAGGCAAAAAAGCAAGAAAGCCTCAGTCAACCCTGCTTTCAGAAAAATAAGCTTTTTGTAAGGTTGAATCCAGATGTACAGAGGAGGACATGGACACATTTTGGATGAGTGAACTTCCCAGAAATGCTGCACTGTTGTCCTCACCAGCAGATGGACCCTTTGGCACAAGAGCAGCAGTGACACTGCCCCTTTCCCCACCAGCCTGGCCCTGGCTCCCTTGCAGCACTCGGGCTTGTGCCTCATAAAAGGGTCAGTGAAAAACACCTGCTTGTGAGACAGGAGCTATCAATAATGTGTCAAGGAAAAACGTAGTAGTTTAGACCTTGGGGATCCTTTAAAAAGATCTGATGGCAGGAGGTGACGCCTGCTCTGTGTTTGGTGCTCAGGCAGGTCACTCTGCCCTCCCAATAAGGAACATACATTGTTTAAACACATGCTGTGGTGCTGCAGACCCCCTGCCCTTGCTGAGTTCCAGGTAATCCAGCCCAGGACAGTGTAAATAGAAGATTATTTCCAGCCAACAGAAAAGTGAACTGCACTGCAAAAACTGATGCTGCCCCACCAGAGACGTGGTGGACACAGCCTGGGCTAATTCATCTGCAGGACAAGGTGCTGTAGTGCCTGGAACTGCAAAGGCTTTGGGCATTACCGTGGGCACAGAGGATGGAATTTGAAGAAGCATGGATTGCAAACAGGAATGCAGATGTCAGGTCAAGACTGCAGAACACCTGCAGTCCCAATGCCTGCCCACTGTGGCCAGCAATGCCAAATTGCCAATGCAAATGGGAGCATTGGGCATCAATCCTGGACAGAGCAGGGCCAGGGCAGCAGGGTGTGGTGGCACTGCACCAAGGGCACACAGGGAGGAAGAGCTCCTGCTGTGCCTGCCCAGGCTGGGCTACACATCAGAGCTTGTTCCAGCCGGGACAGGCATCACCCCATCATGTGCTCTAACACCCAGCCACTGCTGGGAGCTGGGAAGGAGCAGGGCACAGAGGGACAGCTGTGCCTCTCCACCTGCAGTGTTTCTCTTGGCAGGAACCTCACCTTCCTCTTGCTCTTAAATCAGGGAGTGCTGCTGCCTCCAACAACAGAGGCTGGGTGTTCACATCAGGGGTGAGCTCCAGGCCTTATCCAGCTCTAATCCTGCACTCACAGCAAGTGCTGTGAGCACTTAACTGACCATGGATCTTATTGCTTATGCCATTTAGCTTTTTCAGAAAACTCAAATGGACAAGAAGCATCATGCAACAGGGTGTGGAGTTACATTTATTCTGGGTTCCCATCTGCCCAAAAGGCAACGTGAGGTAATACAGCTGGTCTGCTCTGGCACTTGAAGCTGCCAAGAAATTCATCTTTAAAGGAAAGCCTCTTAACTCTACCCCTCTGTGCTGTTTGGCTGATTGATTTACAAGCCCCGAATTCTTCTCATTGTAAGCTTAATTCATTAACCCTCTCAGTCACCCAAACAGTGGGTTAGCATAGCACAAATTCCTCTGTGCTCCATTCAGCTCCCTGGCTTGGCAGCGCCTGTAAGCCTGAGCTCAGGCACTGGGAACTGCTGCCTGCCTGAGCTCCCTCCACCCAGGTCTCCACAGATGGGGGCACATAAAATCCTGCTCTCCCAGCTCTGAAAGGTTCTCCACAGCTCTCACCCCACTGCTTGCAGAACCTTCAGAGCCCCCTGTTCATGAACTGAAGGTCCAGCACTCACCTCTTTATCTGTCTTTCAACAGGAACAGTAGGGAAGTTCTTTGTTGTGATGCTTGTTCCAGAGAACACAGCAGTGTTTCTCTATCCCACTTTCAGCATGTTTATAAGGGGCATTTCCACCATCTCATTTAGACTATTTTCTTTAATATACATTCCCAGCCTTGGCATAATCAACTGCCTTCTCCTCTCTGATGTGCTCCTAACTTTGGTCCTTCCTGCCTGGACTCAATGCCCAGCGCAGACTGGGAAACACAGCTGTCAGGGGAAGGATTTTCTTGCTAGCTGAATGGTGCTGGTAAGTAATTGCAAACATCTTATGCTACTGTAAAACCCCTGTCATTTAAAAACATACATGAAAGATATTTCCCCTTTGACTATCAACCTCTAAACTACGAGTGCTGAGTGATTCAGAAGGTTAGAGCTTTGCCTCCCAGGAGATAAGGAGATCAATCCTGGTTAAGGCCATCAGCACAGATGTGTTTGGCAGGTTCAAATTATTCTCTGGAAACACTGCAAAGGCTGTCTTTGCCACAGGTCTTGGAAAGGAGCTGCTTTGTGTGAGTGGTGACTGGGTTTGGACAGATGAAGAGAGGTTTTAACAAATCTAGAGCTAAGGGCTGCTAATGTCCCTTCTCCTCCCCCACATCTCTTTTTTTGTACTGTGGATTCCCTCTCTGAACTGGTCTGGGTGGCTGCCAGGACACAAGTAGTACAGAGTGGGACAGGAGGTGGCACAGTAAATTGAAAATTATGGGTGACAGCAGAGCAGCACCTGAACAGCCTCCCAGTGTCCACAGGTACTGCACTAGAGCTAACCAACATCCCTTTATTTCCTCCTTTGAGTCAACAATCATTCCAGTAACTCCTACATCACCACTGCCCTGAAATTCACAGGACAAGGAGCACCACTGAATACAGGATCCATGCACAACAGGCTGGTCACACCTGCTCTCACAGAAGGCAGTGGCCCAGCTCAGCAGGTACAGGGACACAACACAGCATTGTCACCGGTGTGCCTCATCTGCCAGATCCAGGCAAGGGCTGGGAGGAGTTAATCCCATCCCTGCTGCTAAATGGAAGCACCAGGGGCTTATCCAGCTTACCTCCATCTCACACAGATAAACACAGCCCTCCAAGCTCAGAGGATCCCTGCAGACTCTCCCCCAGCCCAGCTGTCCTTGGGGTAAAGGACAGGCAGCCAAAGCCGTGCCAGGCTGTGCCCCCAGCTCTGCCCCCTGCTCCACGCACCTTTCCTGTCAGTCTCCGTGGCATGCACCAACAGAATGTCTCCAGATCCACCCCGGACATCTGGCCCATCATCCCCCTGCAATGGGAACACAACCACGTTAGGCACAGCCCAAGCTACACAACCACGTTAGGCACAGCCCAAGCTCCCTTAGGCCTGGTTTAACATTGCTGGGGTTCCAACTCAGCAACAACCGGCAGTGCCCACAACGCTCCTGGCACTGCTCACAGCACAAGCTGGGGCATGGATTTCAGTGCTGGGATAGTCCTGGAATGTGAATCAAGCATTTGGTGCCCCAGATGAGGAGCTGGGCTGATCCTTGCTTGGAGTCTCTGACTCCCTAAGGCCAGGTTGTGAAGCTCAGTGAAAGCTGAACCTTCTGCCCACAGGAGAATGAGCAGAAATGCCACAAATACTCCCAGAAGACCATTAACAGGGCAGCAGCATTGTGTGAGCTGTCTCAAAGTGCAGGATCACGTACCACAGTGGCTGTGGGGTGGGAGGTCGTGCATTCAATTTGCATGTTCCTGGAACATCAAAACCTAGTGAGTTAATTCCCTAATCTGGAGTCATTTGGCCAGAGGTCACCTGAAACCATGCAATAACTGGCAGAAGGAAACAGCCCTGCTAATTGCTTGACCCCTGCATTACCACTGTCTAAAACACATCTTTCTTCTAGCTACTGCATTTCACAACTTAAAATATGCAAAAACGATCCAGCACTTAGCCAGCAGTTCCCACACTGCAGGAAGCAGCTCACAGTGACAGTTCTATACTGTTTCAAACATGTAGATCATAAAGAAAAGAAAGAAAAAAGACACTAAGAGACAGAACTGCTAGTCCCAAATGTTCAGAAATCACTGATTTTAAAATATTTTTTAAAGGTAACAATCCATCAGAGGAGGCTGGAGTTGTGTCTGGCTTCCCATAGGAATTACTTTATCATTTCAACATGCAGAACACTGAAACAATCATGGATTACAGCCATGGAGCAGCTCTAAGATGTTAATTTTTCAGGTGACCCTCTGGCAAGACTCATGAAATACTACTTAGAGAAAAAGCAAAAGCTTCTCACTCTCTCCTGCACATCTCAGCTGACCAAAGAACACTCCTAAAGTGCCAGTAAATGATCCATTCTCTCTGTTTTTCAGCCAAGGCCCCTGACAGTCTGAAAGCTTCAAAAGCCTGCATGTTCCCTCCAGCTGCATGTCAAAGACAGCGTGGCTCCAGAGCCCAGTGAGCAAAGCTGGCTGGGAGTGCACCCAAGGCTGGACACAAAGCTGTTTCTCAAACACAGAAAAGTTTGGCTGCTTTTCCACATCAGTAACATCATGTCCTGCTCATTCACCTGCTGAACCTGCTGTCAGAGAGAAAGGCCAGCACCGTCCCCCACACCTGGATTTATTGTGCTCAGGCTCCCAGGTGATTCATTTCAGACTGTCAGAGGCTGAAGAGGTGGGGGGGGCAGACTGGGAAAAGGGCACAGGATGTGCTGGTTTTTAGGGACACCTTTTGTTAAATCCTCACTCATTGCTGGTGCTCCCTGCCTGTACCAGCATCTCACACTTTAACAGCAGCTTTCACACACAGCCCACTTCTGCTGCAACATAGTTTTTCTTATCAAATAAAAGGTGATGCCTTGTTTGTGCACACAGAGAATCAGATTTCAATTCAGAGTAAGCCAAAGAGTATGAAAACAAACCTTGAATGCACCTACCTCTTGCTTCAGTGTTAATCTAGACATGATTTCACTGTGGTCAATAAGGGACAGCTCATCTACCTCTTCCTCCAGATGTGATGACTCCAAAGTATCTGGTGACTGTGGCTGCCTGTGAAAAAAAAAAAGGGAAATAACCTTCATCAAATGACAGTAAGTACACAGACACTCTGGAGGTAAATCTTTTGCAAACAAACCCAAATGTCTGTCTCTAACTCTGTTGCTTTGTGCATCTCTTGAAAAAGAGAAAGATAAACCTTTAAGACCTGAACACCTGTCTGTCTGCATTTCTGGCAGACGGGATTTTACTATAAGTACACACTTCCATGTCTCCTTAATCCACCAAATTTTTAGTGCACACAAATCTAAGCCCTTCCTCAAGTGTATAGAGACTGAGCACACTACACATACACATCTTAGTCAGTTCATGACCCGTTGTGCTGATACAAGGGGAGATGACAGGCTCTTGTTCTGCAGGAAAATAGAGCAGAAAATCATGACCACTTGTTTGGTGGTACATCCCCCTCTAGAATTCCTACCCCCAAAGGCTGGTACTCTTGTGCCAGGACGTGTCCTTTCTGTGCCTGTATTTCTAAAAAGAAAAATAAAGTACTTGTTCCTCATAGCTTTCCCCAGGCACAGGCCAAAATCCCGTGCAGCAGTCGGTACTTTGGGCAGATAGTGAGTTTTGCACAGCACTCTGGTGTTGTGTCCTTCACTGCAGGGATTAAAACCCTTGAACCAACTGCAGGAAAATGGGGGAGGAAAGTTGACTGTCACACACAAATCACTGCTGTTCTCTATTTTTGCTTTAGAAATGCAACTGCAGAGCAATCTTGAGCAGCAGGGAAGCACTCACTCCACTCCTTCTGAAGCCCATCTGTTACAGCTTGCACCTCTTCATTTACATAGGCAAATGACAGCTAAGAGCATTAGAAGGGATATAAAGCCTCCTACTCCAAGGCCTCAGCCAGCCTCTAACTAGCAAGGTTAGGAAGAAATTTCCCTCTGGAAGACTGTTCCAAACAGCAACACAGACTCTTTTCACACATTTCCCCAGAAGCAGGAGGGAACAGCCAGTGTCAGTGACAGCACTGCCACTGAGACGGACTGAGGATGGCTAACACAGGCTGCATTAACCCCCACGGGCTCCTTGATTTCAGCAAGGATATCTTCCAGGATTCTCCTCATTCAGCAGGATCCCACCATGCACTGGCAGTGCATAAAAAGTGGGCTTAGAAGTTTAGACCACATGGAGGAGTTTTAGGGCAGCCGTGGTTTGGCAGAGGGGATGTTGGGGCTCTGCACCCTTCAAACCTGGCAGGAGGACAGCAGGGGGTCCAGGCTCACCTTTCAGCACCATCTTTGCCCTCCTTCCCCATGGCACTGCTGCTCAAAGCGGAGTCTTTGGAGTGGCTGTCTTTGACAGGGGGAGATTCCTGCCAAGAGAAAGAAGTTTTTCATCATTACACGGGGTCCTTGAGCCCAGCCAGCCTTGCATTTACAGTCTGCCTGCCTTCCAATGGCCCTTTACTGTAAATTCTTGCAGAGTTAAAGATTGATGCAAGTTAATGCCAAATGCCAGGAAAACACAGAAGTTAATCAGACAGGAAATTTGGGACCATCTCTGGAGGCTAGTGTAATTAGTACTGTTTGCTTTTAACATTGTGAAATGATGCTGAAAGTTACAACACAAGTCAGCTGTTGTCTTGGATTTTAACCCTCTCATGACCTTTTATTTTTCCTCCAGCCCTTCCTGTTGAAATACACTCTGCTTTAATCCAAACAGACACAATCAGCTCTAAGCTCTCCAGTTTCAGTTCCCCTCCTGACCACAGCCCCCCCTGCCTCAGGGGGGGATGCTCACTGCTTCCTACCTCCCTTCTCTCCCATCAGAAGAGGTTTTGCAATGATGCAACGTTTGCACTCCACAACTCAGGGCTGTGGAAATGAGGCTAATGCAAAAAAGCAGAACCAGCTGAACCCGCGGCATGGAACAGCAGGTAGAGAGCTCAGAGCAAAGATACAGCATTTAAAATTAGCCATTTATTAAGGAGACAAATGGCCATGAACAGCAAGTGGGACTATTAATCCAACAGTGTCGGAGTTCAGAATTATTTAACATCATGCAGAGTGAAACTTGGATATGCAACCTAGTGAACAGACAGGACTGAAACCACTTCAGCATGGAAATACCCTGCTGAGCCTGGGTTTCTTGGTGTCTGCAGGATTTTTCCAGACTCTGTCTGTAAAGCCCTTCACTTCAAAGTTGAGAACCCGCTCACAGCTGCCCAGAAGGATGGGCCTGCCCAGATGTGTCTCCTGAGGGGAAGTGATGGGAGAACTATCTCTTGGTGTAGTTAACACCACCATGGATAAAGGTCTTGGGGACTTCCTGGAGGAGATGTGCCTTCCAAGAGGGGGGCAGGCAAAAGGATCACCATGGACTTCTGCCAGTTTCCTATGACCCAACAGGAAGGTGGAACCTCCCTGGAATGGAAAACGCCCTGGCTCCTCTAGGAAATATCTGACACAAGGCTTGAGTAAAGGAAGAAACACTGTGTGAGTACAATGCTAAATCAATAATTTACTTTGCAACCAAACAGTGAAGGAGAAAATAAATACTTAGTGCAGAAGGCTTTCTGTATTAAAATAGGGAAGGCAAAGCAGTTACAAGAAAAGATGTGGCCCCAGGAAGGCACGGGGTGCAGCTCTCTGGAAGGGAACTTCACACAAGCAGCTCCAAACAGCCAGCGAAGCGCAAAGGAAACAGCGTGGCAGGAAAAGCCATCCCTGACTCCTGCCAGGGCTCAGCGCGACCCCAAAAGCATCTCCTGCTCTGCATCTGCACCAAGAGGACCCCCCAAACCTGCAGCCAGGAGTGGGCAAGCAGAGGGATGGCTGGGGAGCTGGGGCAGCAGGAGGGACAGGGAGCTGCAGTGTGCAGGAGAGGCCGGTGCCAAGCGCGTGAGCCGCGGTGTGAACTCGGCATGCACCAGCAGCCCCTCTGGGCTCTGGCCTCTCTGGGCTGTTACTTACTCCTTCAGAGCGAGGGAGTTCCCCGTTGCTCTGGCCAGAGGAATACAGATTGACATATTCACCCTCACCAGTCTCCTCACTGGCGTTTTCACTCTAAGGAGACAGGATGAAAGGAAATACGTGATGGTGCCCCCCACCAGCAGTTCATGGCAGAGAGAACCCAGGAGCAGAACTGCCCTCGGCAGCTGCTGTCATCTCCCTTGGAGCTGTTCTGTCTCTGTGGCCAACACCGGCCACTGAGGCTGCTCCATCCTGGGGGTCTCTCTATTCCTGGCTCTGGGGGACTGTCCTGAGGGCCCTGGGCAGCAGCAGGCAGAGTTCAAGCTGCTGGAAGTGGAATGTTCAGAGCTGGACACGGAGCTCCTATCCTACCCAGGGCAGTCCTGCTGAGTGCAGACCAGCCCTGCAGCTCTGCAGGCATCAAATTAGGCTACAAGCATGAACTAGACCCATCACACCAGAATAAACCAAACTGGAGGCCTTCCGGGATATAACAAGGACCCAGGGCAAGGAAGATGCAAAGCAAGGTCACGTCCAAAGCATGAAAAGCTGCACATTTCCTCTGTAATCAGTGACCCTCTCCCAAACCTGGCAGAGAGGCAGCACTAGCATGGCCTGTGCTGACAGCTCTAATCTCATCAACTCTCGGCTTTGCAGCAGAAGAAAGAAGAACTGTCTTGAAAATGAGGTGCTCAAAAAAGTGTCTGTAATGGACAGACCTGCTCAGTGATGTGCAAAGTGATCCGGGACCTCAAACTAGCAGAGTGGGGACAGTGTTAGCCTAACTTCACCAACATGTGACCACCTGCCACCAAGCACACAGCTGGGGCAGATGGGAACTGGGAAGAGCAGGAACCTGGAGAGAACAATAGGTTTTATGCACAGGAGAGACACAGCTGGACTGTACCCACTGCTCCTGGTGACTTAGGAGGGAGCAGGTGGCAACTGCAGGAAGCAAACTGCTGTTAGGAGCTCACGTTTAGTAACTACCAACCTAACAAAACACTTCTTTACCTCCCTCAGCTTTGTCTTACAATTGCAGGAAGTTACAGCCAACTCTCCCCTTCACCAGCATTTGACATTCTGTGTTTCCTACATACACCTAACATTTTCTAAAACCTGCTGAGGTTGTCCATTTTCTTCTAGCCATTTTCATATGAAATTTTCTCTCTGCAATTCACACACATTTGGAAACCAGACTAGACCACAATTCAGCATGTATTAATACGAGAGACATTTTCTTTAAAAAAAAAAAAAAACAAAACCCAACAAATAAAGGCAGCCTTGCTTTAAGGTGCGTTATCATCTCTTTGGATAGTCTCACCGAAGGCGTCTGGAGAGAATCAGTGAAAGAGGATTCAGAAGGAAGGCAGACAGGAGCATTCCCATTAAAGCTGCTCTCCTGAGAAGAGGAGTTTGGCACATCCACAGTGCTGGGTGACTGGCTGGCTGCAGCGGGCACCGCTAGGTCGGGGCTCTGGGATGGATGGATGGGTGGAAAAGGTGGGGTGGAGCAGGAGGAGGTAGAAGAGAGGAAAGGAGGTATGGAGACTTGGTTGTGAGGCACAAAGTCCTGGGAGTAGGACCTAAACACAGATTTGTACTGCAGGACACAGAGACAACACAACACAAAAAACAAGGAAGATGGGGAAAGGAAAGAGACAGACAAAAGAAAAAGTAGTTAGATTGGCAGCAGCGTAGCAGTGGCAGCACAAGGCATTTCTAACACAGGCAGCACTATTTTATCACCCACACGCTAGAGCAGGGGTTGCTACCTGGGATACATCAGCCAGGCTTTTCCTGGAGAGGCATGTTCTTGCACCAACAGCAGCCTGGCTGCTCTCTCACAGAGGGAAAGTGAGCAGCAAGGTGTGACCTGCAGGTATCCAGCCTTTCCTGGCAGGGGAAAACCTGCATATCTCAGAACTGCTAATGCAGTGACCCTGAAAATCACCTGAGTGGAGGAAAGGATGTGATGGCACACAGCACAGCTCTGAGCATGCTGGAAGTATCTACATAGAGAAAACTACTTCAAGTGCTTATTGCTTTTCTGGGATTTTCCACAGGATCCAAATTTAAGATGCTTTTTGCTCCAGCCCTGTAATTTAACAGCTACTGTATCAAGCCTGTTCCAGAACACACAGCTTCCAGGGAGGAGTGGCTGGATACTGCCTTCAAAGTTACACTGAAGGATAAAGGAGATTATGTTGCTACTCCTTCCCATCCGTGAAAAACAGGGAGCAAAAATGGTAATTGCCCTCCGGAGTGATGAATTCCTTATCAAACCGATCCTTTAATGCAGTGCCTTGAAGAGTCAGCTGAAGAGATGAAAAGAGATCATCTGCGTAAAGCTTTATTTCACTATCTCTCCTAATCATCAGATTACTCTTCAGATAATATTAAACAGGGTGCAGTGGGAATATATTGTGCCAAGAAAAACAAGAGCAACCTTCTGTCTTTTAACATCTGGTGCTAGTAAGATTTGCCATCGGGGTAAGTCCAAAACAAAGCTGACAACCATTTAAACAAAAAAACAAAAACAAAAACAAAAAAGCACAATAATGCTAAATCTCCTGGAGAGAACTTTATTTTAAAAGCCACAAAGCTGGTCATAGTCAAGTGGACTGAAAGAAGAATCACATCATCCAAAAAACCCCAGGCTGGAAACGCTGTTGTGGCGCTGTTCCATTGAGGGATCTGCTGCAGAAGGACAGTGCAGTACAGAGCTCTCAAGAAGCACAACTTGCTGAAACCAGACTGAAAAGTGACACTACTGTGATGTAAAAAGAAAGGGAATCAAAAGGCAGGAATTGGAGAGTTCAGTCTACATTTTCTCAGGAGAGTTGAGCGGGTAAGAAAAAGCAAAGTTTAGTCCATCACCTAAGCCCCAGCAGCAGCACTCAGCTCAGCAGTGGTATTTTTGTTTCTACCTAGGAAAGATGTGGGCTTAAAAATCTAAACTGAGAACAGCCTCAGACCAGAAGCCTGGTCAAAAAAGCTTTTCCACTACAAAGGAAAGGAAATGTAAAGGTCAACGACTAGACTTTACCTTCTATCGCCTTAATCCTTGAGTAGCTGTGCCTTGTGCCTTGCACAGAGTCCAGCAGCGCTCTGGGTGTATTCTCAGGGCCCAAAACAAATTGCAGGCCATAATACAGAGGAGAGGAGGGGGATGCTTTGGAAAGAGAGCTTAGAAGACTACTGAAAAAGAATTAAAATGCAAATCCCCACCATGTGCCTGTGGCTAAAAGGAGACTGGCTCTAGGACAGGCTCCTCTCTCTTCCTGCCCGTTTCTTTCTGGGTGAGCAGCGCTGGCTCCAGGGACACTGTCAGCGTTTGGAGCTGCCTCAGTAACAATGACAAGTCTAATCTCTGTATTTACTTTCTGCCTGGATAAAT